GGAAAACAAAACAAGTTGATTGGTCAGCTACTTAATTTAGATGAGATTAAATTCATCCCAGATAATAATAAGGACCTGTCATTTAAATCCCATATCAAAGAGGTGTCCAGAATTTACTTCTTTCATCACAATATTACAAAAAAACAGAAATATCTTGTCCAGGGGTGATGCTAAGAAATTAGTCAATGCATTTGTTACTTCAAGGCTGGTCTATTCTAATCCTTTACTATCATGAAATCTGCAAGCTTTCTGATGATCCAAAATGCTGCATGAAAAATATAGATAATTGCCTATATTAGCTTCTCTTCGTTGGCTTTCTGTTAGATCAAGAATAGAAATCCTATTTCTCCCATATAAAGCCTTAAATGGAGAATCTTCATCTTATATCACTGCAGCAGGATCTAATCAATCCTTACTTCCCTAATTAGAGCACTTTAGGGCTGAAACAATTTATCGGATTAATTGTGGTTAGTCGATTATTGAAATAATCGTCAACTAATTTATTGATCGATTAAATGTTAACTGGAGTATAGAGACTAAAACACGCCTTTAGCTGACAGAGCAACCCACCTTTAGCAGCTATTATACCAACATTGTAAACATTTTGCATTTAAGATGAAATATATATATATATATATATTTTCACCTTTCAATAAGCTCTATCCAGAACTCCTTAAATGGAAAAGTATTATAAGTTTCAACTGGTTTAGTTTTCTAAAAATTCTTCTTTTTAGAACCTTTTGCCATTTCAATATTATTTGAAAAAATGATCGACAGATCAATGAATTTGTAACGTAATCATTGTTTGCCCCCCTGGAGCACGTAACTCTTAATCTGTAGGTTTACTTGGTGTTCCTTGACATTCTGAATGTCAATAAAGCTGATCCAAATTGTACAGCCTGAGACCTGATCAAAATTACAAAAAATATATATATTTCTACAATCCTAGCTTCTCTTTATTTGCTTGCTGTTAAATCTAGAATATGATTTAAACTCCTCATTCTTACATATAAAGCCTTAAATGACCAAGCTCCATCTTATATCAGAGATCTGCTGTATTTATGTTCCTAACAGAGTTTTCAATCTGAAGGTTTACTAGTGGTTCCTAGAATTTCTAAAATTAGAATGGGAGGTGGATCTTTAAGTTATCAGGCTCCTCTCCTGAGGAACCAACTATCAGTTTGTAGTTAGCTTATAGTTAGAGTGGCTCGGGTTATCCAGTGCTCAATAGTTATGCTGCTATAGGCGTAGATTGCTGGAGGACATAGGAACCCATTTTCATCATTCCACCTTATTCTATCTTTATTGTCCCATCCTGCAGAATGTGTCAGTTCCCTAATGTTATGCCCTCTGCGCTTTTTATCATCATTGTAGCTTCATCTGTTCTGTTTGGCTGTGACACCATCCTGGAGAAAAATATCAGCTGGGCTCCTGACATAAATGCCTTTGTTTATAGATGTTGGAGCGTAGCCTGTTTTTCAGTGTATTCCTGGTTCTCTGACTGTGACTAACTGTATGTGTTTCCTTCCATCCTCTGACATGGGAGCTGGCTAAGAGCTCGTCTGCCTGGCTGCGTGTTTCCTGGAGGGGGCCGCCTGTGGAGCTGATTGACAGTTGCCTTTTGTATCTCTGCTTCTGTCTCCCTGAACCCCTGTCGGCCACGGCAGATGGCCACACACACTGAGCCTGGTTCTTCTGGAGGTTTCTTCCTGTTCTTCCTCTCCACTATCGCTACAAGCATTCTTAGTGTGAGGGATTGCTTTTGAGTCAATGAGGCGATGTAATCAGCTGGTTTTCCTTAGATAGAAAACTTTGAACCAGTCTGACTGTAGGATCTGCTTGAATTGTCTCTGTAAAGTGCCTTAAGATGACATGTTTTCTGAATTGGCACTATATAAATAAACTGAATTGAATTAAATACTGGCTAAATTGTGCAAATGTGTTTTTATGATTCTATGTTTCAGTTTTTCAAGATGAAATAGCCAGTTGCAGAATTTATACCTTAATCAAAACCCAGTCCATGTGATTGGCAGTTATAGGTATCGGCTGTGATCAGCCCTCACAGTGATTGGTTTCGGGATCTGCAGCAAAAATCTTGAGCCGATGATCCCTAATCAAGAGTCCATTGTAGGATTATTATATGAGTCAGAACTCAAAAAGTTTGTTAAACTCTAGTATAGAGCATTGGGTAGCACAAGGTTGCCCCTCCCCTGGCTTTTGCTACACACTGCCAGTAAACTTTCTATAATAAGTTTGCTACACTGTTGTGACTAAGACAAGATACTTTTTTTGGAGTTTTTACAGCACTAATGGCTCAATTTTTTGACAGACATGTAAAGGAAAGGACCACCAGCCAGATTCGAACCCAGGTCACCCGCTTAGAGGACGAGGGCCTCCGTACGTGGGTCGTGTGCGCCAACCACTGTTCCACCTGCACGCCCAGACAAGATCAATCTGATATTTGAAAATAATTTTCATTTCGGTCATAAAACCGATGTCAAGTTGACCCAAACAGATAGCCTAACTAATATACCAGCTAACATCAGCTTGTTTGCCTAGCAAGCAGAAAAGCATAAAGTTAAAATATGCTGTGCAATAATCAATAACCAACATTAAATGTATCAAGTAATTTTATATATTCTTTTTTATTTTTTATCAGTATTAAACTAATTATTAAACTTATATTTTTTAATGTGTATTGTAAATATTTTTATATTATTTTAGTGGAAGTATGAATAATGACTGATTTTCTATTTTAGAGTATTTAGATCCTATAGTACGTTCTGTTTAAATTCTTATAGGATTATTTAAAAATCAACAAGCATTATCTATGATTCTATTTTCAAAAACTTTAAAGTTATTGTCTTTAATATAAATTGGAGTCTGATGAACCCTGAACCCAGTTTTCTCCCTGTTTTTGTTACTTATGACAGTTTGAGCAGAAGATTTAACTTTTTTAAACCACTTGTGGTGCAGATGGTTGCTTGTTTTGAACTGTAATAACTTCTTCTGATAACTGTTAAATAAGATAGAATTGTCCTGTACACTCCTGGTTAACACAGGGAACTGAACAGGATTGCTGTTATCATTCCTGAAGCCCAGTGCCATTACATTTATAGATTTTTCCCTTTGATGGGATAATTTGGTCTTTATATCTCTCACAAATGAAGTGATCCTTAGCGCTTCTCGCACAGCTCAGTGTGCAGGTCCCCATTTTCAAATACAGCTAATTGCATTCGAAAAGAATCAATGATACTTTGGCGGTGACAATATCATTCTTTTAATGTCACTTAATTTCCTGGGTGAAATAATTACATCAATAGCCTGGAACCCATTTCTATCTTTCAGCATGAATTAATCTATTACGGGCAATAATTACACATTTGTAATGGATAGGTTTTTGCATTGAGAGGAAAAATGCAGACAGACCTCCATTGTGTGCCTGCGTGTTGGCACTGTCCTGACTATCACTCAATCCGTTTATGAATTACACTGAACCAGAGAGGGAAAATAAATAGAAAATAATAAAATAAAGGCATCTCCTATGCAGCTCCAAGGATGCTTTCTTGTGCGATAGCCCTCCCTCTAGTGGAGATGAAGGAGCTGTTTTATACAGTGTGATTTACAGCTGAGAGACTCAGTCAAAGCTGAGAAATGAGGACAAAGGAGAAATGCTTAATTAACCTGAAATCTCCTTTTTAATCACAATTATTGCATGTAGGAGTCTACAGAGGATGGTCAGTGTATTTGAAAAGCAGTTATCTACCATATCATTGCACAAAGGACAAAAGCCATCAGCAACTCACATTTCACTTTTAAAACATGGGACTATGCAGTAATGCATCTCTAGAATCATCTTATTCCCTCAAATTTCAACAAAAATATTAAATAGCTGAATGCGTAAAGATCTGCTATAAAAGGGTACAAAAAAGTCAGAAAGCTTTAAATGTAAATATAAAAGACTAAGGAAAACTAGAGTTATAAACAGAGCTGTTTGTGCAGCTGATTGATTGCATAGGGAAGTCAGTTATGCCTTAAAAATGTTGCTCAATACACGTCCAATATTGAAGCAAATAATTTGTCAAGAACTGTATTTTCATTGCTCAGTTTGTATATGATTTTATTAGGTTAAAACCACTGATATTAGGTTAGAAACAATGATATTAGGTTATAAAACCAGTGATATTAGGTTAAAAACACTGACATTAGGTCAAAAACCACTGATATTAGGTTAAAACCACTGATATTGTTGTATTTTCCTGCCTTTTGATTCTGATTAGGAGTGATTTTTATTTATTTTTTATTTTATTTTATAGTTGATGATTACAATACTGTCAGCAGTCTGTCAATATTGAGATTCTTGCTTAAATGTACCATATCCAAAATAAATAAATGAATAATGTCTCTGAGCAGCACTTATATGTGTAGACTTAACTAGATGTTAGTTTTTTTTTCCGAGTCTCTTTTTGCTATTTCTTAAAGCAGAACTGTTTTTGACACAGACATGCAACCAGTCCCACCATACATATGGTTTGCCTATACCAGAAAGACAACACAAAAAAGAATATATTTTTTTCTTTGTTTGACAAGGATACTAAAAATCTGTTTCTGCTATAGTAATTTATTTAAGATATGTTAGACAAATACAAATAAAAAATTTATTGAAAAAAGAAACCAGACTCTTTTATTTAGCTGAATAAACATTTGCAAAACCTAAACATGAAAGCAGGTTTACATAATCTGTGAAAGGTCTGTCACTTGATACAATAGGCTAACTGTGATCTCTGCTGCACAGACGCGACGCTGCAATTGCTCTCTTATTTATTCATCAACAGTGGAAACTGACCGACTACCTGCCTGCTGCAGTGATCTGTCCGCTCTCACCTCCCTTTTTCTCAGGTGAAAACCCACCCACCACACAACACTACACACTGGGAGAGGTGGGGGTAAAAAAAGGGGCAAAACTAAGTAAATTCCAGTGGAGCTGCTGCATATAAACAGAGACGATGCAAGTAGACGTTGCAGGTGGAAAATATATTTTAATTCTTAAATGAATAATCAAGGAGATGATTACATCTGCACATTTTTCTGATCTTGAACTATATTTGACCCGAGCTCCGCTGGTTAGGAGGTGTTTGGTTCAGCTACAGGGTGCGCACCGGAGGAGGAGTTGACGGTGCGTCTGCCGTGCGCGGCGGATAAACGGTGCGCTCAGACGCACAGACGGAGCCAAACCAACAGCAACACCTGGAGACTCAACTTCCACCGCGCGCAGGTTGTGTCCACAGTAGCAGCGGCGGGGATGGGACATGACTTGTCCGAGTAAGGTATACATTCATTAATGTCAGGATTAAGCCCATTTGTGTTCTTTTTTATGTTTTTTATTTAGGATGTTTAGATCTAATTGAGATATTATATATTTTCAGAACACCTTTTCTCTGGGAATAGTAATGGACTTTCTGTTATGTGTGAAACTTTTTTTTAGTATTCAGCAAAAGCTTAAGTATCTTGTTTAGGTATAGTTTACCATATTAGGTTTAGAGCTATTTGATTAAAGAGGAATAATTTTGTAAAATGGGATAAAAATTTTCCTCATTATTGTAAGGCCTTAAAATTACCAGCTTTCTGTAAGTTTCTTTTAAATAAGTCTTTGACACAATCTGTCTAACTAAAACTTTACAAGAACAGATAAAACTGATTTTTTATTGGACATAAAGAACCTGCTTAGAGATTCCTTATATAAACTTCACATCTATTCCTGTTATTCTGTCATCTTTATTCAATGTAACTTTTCTTGCTCATTGGCTAAATTTCTCACCAATATACTTGATAACTTACTCTAATGCTTATCCCTGCTTTCGGTTAATTTGAGTTTTTTTCTTTTTCTTTGGATTTTAAGGCAAACAAACAGAGCCGGCCCTATGTGGTATGAGGCCCCAAGCAGAAATCAGTTTGGTGGCCACCTCTAGTCAGGTGTTTTTTTTCCCATGACAGCAACCCTGCGCTAGTTTTATTTTAATAACCCATACTTGATCTTCATGTAAAACAAACAATAAAATAAAATAAAATAAAAAAACAGTTTTCAAAAATTATTTTTGAAACTTCTGCTTGAAACTTTTGAGACTTCAGCTGATTTGGGACACAATCAGCAGAAGTCTTGCATTAGCAAGAAATTATAGCTATGTTAGCATAACTTTCAAAGGATGATTTGTTTACTTAGCTTTGCTCAACTGCTGCATTGAATTTCTCTTGAATTTCTTCTTTCCTATATCTGGTGCTGGTCCCACATAAAAGCAAACACACAAACAAAATAAAGGAACTTCTGCAGATGCATCGAGGGATTCAGGACCAACAAAGTAATAGAAGAAGAATATATTCATTATTAAAAGCGTTAAAAGCTGCAACCTAAAAAAAATACAGTCATTTATGATTCAATTTTTGTGTAATGTCACAACTTCAGGTGTGTGCCATCTTTACAGCCATTCTTTATTTGTGTTGTAAAATCAAAGTGATTCAACTAAATAAATAAATGTGGGAAGCAACAAGCCGCAGCAGGGAACTAATAGCTCACAACGCATTAAAGAAAAAAAAAACAGTCTGTTACCTTGCAACAGGGTATTTGTTAGAAACAAACTTTCTAAAATACTTGTGTCCAAACATAGTTCTGCTTTACAAGTGTTGCAGTTTGTGCTTTTTTGTTAGTTCTGGATTTTAAAGTAATTTTTAAACAGTTAATCCAAACGTGTTTATTTTTCTTTACTTCTGAAACACTCTGTAATCTGAAAATGTGATTTACTTAATATAAATAAGAATATGATTTGCCTTAATTTGGTTGCAAAAAAGAGAGCAGCTGCTGCATGATCTGTGTCAGCGTGGAGGCTCTGCTACTGCACATCAGTAGGCCTGTGATGATCAATAGGGACTGCGTGATGTTTTTGCATCGATTAGAGAAACGTGAGCCGATGAATGGAACTGGATTCCTCTCCAGGGGGTTTATTCTTTTCCTGTTCAGCAGTAGCAGAGCGATGCTACACACTTTTTCTTTTGTTGTCCTTTTTATGCATGAATCTTCTGGTAGAGAGCGGCTCTTTCATGCTCTCTTGTACCTTTTACGGAGAGGCCGGGCAGCAACTTCAGGGCACCTCGTGAGTTTCTGAGAAGAGGACAGACTGCTGTTTTCCTTTGACTGGACTCAGCCGAGTGTCAGGATGCCATGGTAAGCTCTGTTCCTATAATGTGGGGATACAGTAACATGGAGACCCTTGCTGACTGTGAAATGCTATCTGCATTCTCTGCATTCTTACTGAGCTTGATCAACACTGAAACACAGGCGTTGCTAAAGCTGGGGTTAGAGCAGACAGAGCCAGATTTTCCGCTCCTTTGGAGGCCGATCAGACTTCCAAGAGTATGACTTATGGCCTGAGATCATCTCTCACAGGTGGGGAAGGCTTTACAATGGCCCCCTCTCATGCAACACCCAAAATCACAGCTAATCGAAAGAGTTCAGTAAAACCTTTACAGGGCTTTGTGCTTCGGGTAAAAACCCTGAACGTCTCATCTGAGCTTTTATTCATGAGGTCAGGCTTGATTTTATTTAAAGATATGCATTTGGCTAGAAACTGGAAATGATTTATCTTGGTAAGCTCTGATCAGCAGGTCAGATACTAAAACTAAGATATATTTTCCTCCCTTTTATTTATAAAAAGCATAAAGCAAACAACTGCCATCTTTTTTTTTGTCCATAAACCAACAACAAGCACTCTGATGTGATTTGTCTAAGTAATGTTAATATCAGTTAAAAGGAAATAGAAAAATGCTTTGATGAATAAATTGTGAAAATTGCTTAATTTGTGCGGTTTTTTGTGATATACCTCCTATAACTTTGAACTCTAAGATCTTTCTTTCATATTTCTGACTTAAATCTTTAGATATGCAGCATGAGTTTCAAGGTCCCTTCTTTAAAAATAACTGGTGTCATGATTTAATCTCATCTAGATTAATTCTACTATGAGTTATCATTTGGCCTTTTCTAGTCTTTAATGTGTACCCCTTATTATTTTACCCCACGGCATAATAAAACTTTTTGTTGCATTGAAGAATGCATTTTCGCCATTTATCAGATTGGTACAAAGACTTAGTCTGACTCAGCAGGTCAGTCTTGAAATATTGGTATCGGCTAGAAAAAGCCTGATCAGTGCATTTTGTACAATTTACTAGATAAGAATATCTTCATATTTAGAGGTAAAACTGATATTATGACTTTAAATTTTGGTCTGTAATATTTGTTTTTTTGCAAATATACCGTAACAATGCAATCCCTACTAGTAATATTTCTTTTTAATTCTTCTCCAAATTATTCTTTTACTCAATTTGATTTTTTAAAATGTTTTGAAAGGTGATCTTGAGGCATTTTGTTAACTGTCATAAAGTTTTATCAAATTTTCTCTGTTTATATTCTCAGAGATAGAGTGAAACTCAATCCATTTAAGTCTGAATCAGAACCAGTTATCTAAATCTGACTTTATTCTAGAAATCTTAGTAAAACAGCAACTATTAGTTATTTCCTTTTGAAGCATTTCAATGCCAGAATCTCCTGTAATCTGTAGCATCTTGAAATATATGAATGCATAAAAAAATAATTTATATGAAACCTGAATTTCCCCTTTTTTAATTTTATTTGTAGTTGTTGCATATGTTTTATTTAGTGTACAGCTTTTATTTTAGAGATTTGAAACTGAGCTTTTTTTGGTTGCATGCAGGTCCATGTGATTCAGTGTTGTGTCTACATGCATGTGAGCGCTGTTGTTGTATGAGTGAGCCAGGGCGCATTCGGATCCCTCCTCCCCGGAGCTCCGCCGGCCCCTCTGTCGCTTTAAGTCCTGCCCCTTGGAGCCAGCCAACAGCAGCTGTTCCATATTCATCAAGCCCTTGAGTCTTAAAGAGCCCTATCCCGAGCATGGAAAGAGTCATTCCTCTCGCTCGCACTCTCATGCTCTCTCCATCTTAGCGCTCATCCCGCTGCTGCCAGCGCGCCTCCGTCTCTCACCTCCCCTTTTTACCTCTCTGTCTATCTGTCCCTCCTCCTCTCCCCCCTCCTTTCAACCGCTCCCTCTCTTTCTTTCTCACTCTAAAATTCTCTTATATACACTCAGACACACACTCCTTCTCTCTCTTCCTCACTTAAACACACACACACACACTCCACACATCCTCATGCGCACGCACTCCTGGTTCATCAGAGCCCGGCATACCTGTGCAGGCTGTTTGGGGGCAGCGTGGTGCTGGAGGGGCTTTTTGCGGTTGTCTCTGAGGGTGCTGTGCAATCATTTGGGGGAAGAAGCGGGTCTCAGTTGTTTTCTCTTTCCTCTTCCTCTCATTCCTGGAATGCTAAAACTGGACTGATGGACATTTCCGAACTTTGTCTTCCAGACCCTCTCAGCTATCATAACCAGTAGGTGCAACCTGCTTCTTTTTTCCACCTTTCACTTTTTCCCAGCTCTTGAATTTAACTTTATTTACTTTTCCCCATATGTTTTACTTTATTTCATCCCTTTTTCTATCATTTTCACATTTCTTTAAGCTCAAAACTGTACATTTTCTTTTTTTTAAATTCCCATGCATTCTTTTGCATCATTTCACTTTTCTGAATGTGCACTTTTCTTCTGTCCTAAGGGATTTTAACTCAGATTAGACTGACAGCAGCTAAGCAGGTACAGGTGTCTGAAACATATTGTAAGCATGTGACTTGGTATTTATATGCCCCATTCGGAGCGTGTCTGATTGATTCAGCTTGTGCCACTGAATCATGCGGGACCCTTGTCCAGTTGGGTTAAAAGCCTGTTTGCTGATGGCTTTGTTGCACAAACCAGGGTCACTCTGGCAGGATGAAAGAGAAATTGTAAGGAGATGAGATTAATGTGAATGCATGTAATTGGAAAGGATAAACTACATGGTTAAATGTATTTTTACAACTTTGAAGAGGTAATTTGACGGACTAAGTAACCTCTGAGAACCAGTAGGTCTGTCATGCAGGCGAGCTGCCATCCTGCTGCTGTTGGGACACTCTGGTTCTCCGTCCTCATCAGTTCATCTGTGACTTATATTTTAAACTAAATAAATTTTGTTTATTTACTTATTTTTTTTAAAGATAGATGACAAATTTATTCATCAAAGTAAGACCTCATTCAGGTGAATGCACTTTTTAAAAATTAATTTAGGGATTTGGCATTTCTCTGGACTCAAAGTGTTTTAATTTTCTTCTATGTGTAAAAAGGGCTTTTTTCATAAATATTCATTTATAAGGTTTATTTTAACAAATATCTAATAAAAAAAAATCTATATTTGTAGGACTTATGCAAAACATTTTTATGTGTTTAGAAGAATTTTCACTGTCTCAGAATTCACCAAATTCATCATATGTATATTCATTGTTTATCATCTAAACATAAATCTCATATCATAGGTTTAATTGCTTTACACTTTTTCATATTTAGTTGCTATTTTTTTAATTTAAAATAATGAATATAAATTTTTAAGCTCTATTTTCAAGCTTGATTTCATTCAGATGATTATAAATAATTTTAACACCAAGTGCACTTTACAACTAATATTGCATAAGGATGAGTGAAGTAAGGCAGAACTTTCATTTTTGTAGTTAACAGTTACAGAAAGCCATTATTAAATTCATAACAAAAATATTGTTTTATGTGCATATTTTTTCTTTTAGATAAATAACATATTCCAAGACTTTTTTGGGTTTGTGGTTTCTTGTTTTTATTGTAAAACAATATAAATGTACTTTTATTTAATAAAATAAGCTTTTAATAAGGGGAATTGATAAAAAAAAATATGCACAAAGGAAATTGTTATTTTATTATTCCTTGAACATAAGAAAAGTTTTTTTTTTCAATTGAACATGCAAATATTATACTTAGAATATTTACAATAATAGTTTGATATTCTAAAGCCACTTTCCGTTTGAAGCCAATTAGACATATTGTTCACATCAGTTTAGGAGAAAAGACACTTTCCTTTTCGTGTGGAATTTATTACCACTGACCTGACGACTTGTCCACTGTTGCAGACTTGATCTGATGAAACCCTTTCCACCCTGGACATTAATTTTTTTCTACTGTGTCCTATTTGCTGTCGTTTTCGGACTCTCGCTGGATGTAGAAGTGATGCTTGTTATAAGCGATCTCTGTTGAATGTTTTTTTGCACCATGCAGCTTGTAGAGCGCTGTGCTGGAATCTATAAAATACCTTAGATAACCTTGAGGATGTCGCCAATTTCTGGGCATTAGACTGAAGTAAAGTTTTTAACAAACTGATATTAACAGTAAAACACCTTTAAACAAGCTTCTGTTGAATTTTCAGATAAAACAAGCTATACAAATAATTCAATTAAATTCCCACTGTAATGTCAGATTCTTTTTGTGCTAATATTTCTGTTAATATGAAGGTAATTTCGCTTCATTTCTTTAAGTATACAAAAATATTATTACAATGATTTTACACATTGTGCAAAAGTCCGTCATGGCTACAGCAGTGAATAATTCAAACGTTGCTCCTCTAAAAAAAGATTTAAACAGCAGGAATTGGGTTTTTACTCTTTTTATTCCTAAACGTCTTTCAACACCCATGTTTTCCTTTATCCCTGGCATCGCCACTGCAATATACTAACAAGGCTATCCAATTTCCCGTCTTGAAATAAGAGCTTTTTAATGTATTTTTAGAGAGGCAGAAAGAAGTTAGCACACAGTGATGAATTAGATTTCAATTTATTTGACTTCATTCCCAGCTTGCTGCATTAGAGCCTGCAAACAGCCATCTCTGGCGATCCGTCCACTTGATTCTTATTAGGTTTCAGAAAACAAGGCGAGGGAATTGCATTAGTGTATCTTAAGTTAAAAGCTCCTTGCTCTTTGACCAAGTGTTTCATTGTTATTGGGTTAATCAGATTTTTGCTGTCTTCATGGAGATGCTATCACAGGTTAGAGGCAGTGGTGAGTAACCAAAGCAGCCGCGCTCAGACACTATCCAGATGGGATCAGCTTACGGTAATTTGGTTTCAGAATACATTACCAGAAAAGCCTCCTGGACAACGATGGCCACCCCACTGTGTGCCAGGAGTTGCTGGCCCCTGTGGCCGGGCAGTGCTTCCGCTGCTCCACCTGTCGCTTTTATTTCCCACAGCTTTTAGGAGGTTTTCAGATGTTTCTTTTGTGCTTAAATTCAAAATTGTTGTCCAATTCTAAATACTTCTTCCTTGTATCAACAGGGCTTTGTTGTCCAAATCATTAGAGAGATTCCTGAGTCCAATGGCCACGCTGGAGACCTCTCATTTCTGGTATCTAGTATCATTACTCTTACTGTAAAATAGGCATGGGCCGGGAAGAGATCCTCACCGTATGATAACATAGAGTGAAATAACCACATTACAAATTCATGTTTTCACTGTTAGAAATGAAATTTTCCTAGGGGGTATAATTGTCTTAATTTAAAAAATCTTACTACTTAAAAAAATAAAATAAATTCAAACAACTAAAATAATGATTAAGAATAAATGTTTTAAAACAATTTTTTTTATTGTTAGTTGTAAATTTCATTTTCATACTTAGGCATTTAAGCTAAACTATTTAACAATGATTGATAAATTTATCAGGATTTCAGTAAACATGCTTAATAAAGAGTAACACTAGTAGAATACGCCTATATTAGCAGGTTAATTAACTGGACTACTGCTGGGGATGTCTGCTGCCACCTTCTTGACGTAGCTTGTTGGACTTGTCCTGTAATTTTAAAACGGCATTACCTTCAGAGGGAAGGGATGTGGCTCATTTAGTTTCCACATTGCGTCTAGAACTATTTTTCAAACAACTGAGTTTTTCTTTAATGTATGCAGAGTAAAATGTAGGAGCTTTCTTTCAGCCAGCTGACTGGCAGTGTGCAGCAGTTGTTGGGGAATTAGAGTACCACTTTATCTATACTTCATAAAACAGAATAAAGTAGCTAAATAGCTTAACTAACTACAATTAATAAGTTAGGCTCAGGTAGCCATCATTTTGCTCAATATAATTTCAACTCACATATTTCTCATTGAAGATTGACAACTACAATATTTATGTTTTCCCTTTACTTTATTCACCTTGGCTGGGAAACTTCCAAACAGCCAAATTTATCCCAGTAAGGGACTTAAAAGTAAAGGTGCACATCTCAGGCAGCAGAGCAGCAACTAGTGGGGGAGGGGGAGTTCTGTCTAAAGCTTTGCTTCACATATTCTAAACAAAAACTTCAGACACTTCATTCCTCTTTTTTGTATTTTAGAAAAAAAATATGAACACTGATGAAAGAAAAAAAATAGTTTTAATAGTTTTTTGTTGCTAATCCATTTTTTCAAGCAAACATTGTTGAACTACATACTTAATCACACTAACATCCACTGACTAAATACTCTTTAACGTTTACAAATGTTCAAATGTGGGTCCCTCATTTTTTTATGCCGATTTTAAAATTTGTCTTCCAAAGCTTTTACTAATATGGATTTTTTTTTTTTTGGAAGAGACAGTAATGACAAAGATGAAAATAAAAACTTAAATTTAATGGATTGCATCCTGGATTTTAAAATAAACTGAACCTCATGAACACCTGAAATTGATCTGAGCTATGAGGTTCTCACCATGTATCAGGTAGAACTACAACAGTTTCACAATTATGCAACATTTGCACAAAAAGGAAAACTGTATATAAAAAATTGTGACTAGATTTAGTAGACTATATTTCTACCTACAGAAATAACAAGTATAATGACTGCGTAATTAGTTAAGATTGGCTGCCTCTTATCACATGGGCTGCTTGTTGTTTTCAGAACCGCTTTACCCTTTCAGGAGTTATGTTTATATTCATTCTTCTTAACAAGAGAAAGTCTTTCTTTTGCTCAACGGAAAGGTGTAGTATCACTCTGACACCCGGTGAGCAAATAGTGTACAGCAACAAGCAGGGGAGGGGTACTACCTGTTATGCAATGCTTCATGCTGCACTGGTAAAACTCAGGCCCCAGTGGACTTTTTCTGCAAGTCAGTAAGGAAAAGGGTAATAATGATGTTAGCTGATCCAATCTAACTCAGGCCGAACTTGGATTGTATTTGAACCCTCAGCATAAAGCAAAGCTAAAGTCTATTGGTAAAACAGTTGCTGTGTACTCGACTCTTTGTTTAACCCCTTATATATAATCATCATAACCTGATCAAATTATTAGTTTTTCCTTTTCAGGAAGAGCATAAATCAAACTTGTTTCATTTTCACTGTCTTTCTATGTTGTCATAACATGCCACCTCCTCACTTCTTAAATTTGCCCTTTACACCTCTTGGCGATTAGCTGTTATCGTTCTTTGATTATTTCACAACACCCACCTGCATGGAAACAAATAGCTGTTGCTGAATGCGCCCCCTGCGGTTTTCTAGCCCATGGTAACCTTGGACACCCCCGCCGCAGTGTGAGAATCTGTTTAAAAATAACCAGGTCCATTAGTCTAGAAAGGATAATGCTAGCCTATGTGGGCTCTCATGCCCTTGTGGCAGCAAAGTGCTATCACTGACACGTTGCGTCAGCACTTCTTCCTGTTGCTACGACGCTCAAGGGCTCCTCTTTAGTCACTCACACATGCATATGTGCAGGTATTCAAACACAAACAGCAGAATAGAAGCAGTAAAGAAAAAAAAGTGGTAATTGAAGTGCTTGGGTGTTGCATAAGTAAAGTTTACAATACTCTTGAAGACTGATATTTTTCAAAGAGAGTTTAACTCTTAGAAGAACAGCAGTTCCTGTAGGAAATGTGATGTAATGTGGGTAACTATATGGGTGTTTATCAGCGGAGGCCATTGGTATTGAGCAGCCAGTTGTTTGAAGGTTATGTTTCAGAGCAGTAATTGAAATGCAAAATAACATTAGGATCGATGGTTAGCTTTGTTTATTTATGAAATCAATATTGAAAGCGTCCGTCACAGTAGCAGCTCTGATTCTCACTGACAGCTTCACCGCGTCCCCCCCTGCGTTAGCTGCAATGAGCTCTGAAACGACTGCAGAGTTTGTTGTCATTCTTTTGAAAAGCTGCACTAAAAGTGTTAGGCCTTTGTTACAAGTGTGAGGCTGGGACAATCTTACCACTAATTTAATTCAGCATTGTTTGAGATTCTCTGTAAATATGCCTGTTGTACTATTTATACATAAACATATAGAACTTGTTATTAACACAGTTTCCTTTTTAAAAAAGCCTGCAAACTAGGATCAAACTAAAGGTATACTTTAGTTTTTAAAAGCAAAATTTTTAGTTATTGTGGTTAACGTCCTTTTAAAGACATGCAATGAAATGAGCTAGAGCAACCAGAGTTTTATCCTGCACTATACGATTAGATAAGCCCAGCCCTCCCCCTCCCCCATCTGTTCTTGGACACTGAAAATAAGCTACTACTGCAGTTTTCCTCATTCTCATAGAAAGAACCTGTTTGAGTCATGTGGAAACTGAAGGAACGCCACCAATTAATGAATAATAAGAGTTGGAACTTGTACATCATTTGTGCATATAAGTATTATGGAACACTTATACTGTGAGGATTGCCTCATGCCTCCAATCGACTTTGGTTTTAAAGCATTATTGTAGTACAAAGAGTGATAATTGGCGCTTCTTTTGATTCCATCTGTGTTTTTTAATTACTGGAAATATAATAAAACCTTAAATCTTAGAAAATCTAATGACCGTTTTTCAGTTAGCTGACTTGCAGTACATGGCATCCTGTCAGGAAGGGGCCGTGATATATTACTCAGATAAGCATACAAATGACAAAAACTCAACTGTGATATGTTCGCTGGCATTATATCTGATGGACATTAACTTTTTTACCCTGATATATCAGGATCCCAGCAACCTACTAATCTTTGGACATTAGTGATCCAACCTTGTCTTCTCGATCAGATCAATGGGTGGCAGTGATTTTAGCTGGTTAACCAACTGTCTGCTGTAAATAAGGGGCTGCACATTACTTGAAAGTCATGCTGGAATAGAAAAAAAAACAAAAAACATTTTGAACCATAACTACTTAAACCTTGGGATAAAAAGATGCTATAAACAACACGATTTATGAAACTTTGTGGGTTTTTGTTCACTTTTTGGGTGTAAAGACGCTTAAAGGGGCTGATAATTTCTTTAAATAACTGCCACTTTGTATCTTAAGTGAAATACATTTTTCAAAAATGCAATAAATGAAGTTTTAATTTTTTATATAGGTTTGACTATAAAAAGCTTTTCCGGCTTCACTGAGACGTTCCTGACATCTAAGCTTGTAACTCACATTTTCTGAACATAAGTGTGGCATTCTGGCTTAGTGTGCTTTCCCTGGCTTTAGATGTTTTGACCGTTGATTTCTGTGTGACAAACTGGGTGTGTGTTGCTACTGAACGCACAACCTGTCCTCCCTTAGATGTCATCCTTTTAGTGACTCAGCAGTCCATCACCCATGGGTGTGAATCCCTTTCATAGGCGAAATGCAGGTAAAATAAAGAAATTCAGATTTTTTTCATCATGTTTATTATCTGCATCAAACATAAGAGGTAAAAAAAAAACTTCTGTTCCAGCAGAAAATTCTACATCTATTCAAGGATCTGTAACATATTTTCTATTCTTTATTTTAATTTTTAGAAAAAACAGGATGCAGTTATTGAAATCGGCCCCTTAGACATCAAAAACAAAGAATTGGCGGCAGACTGGAAAATACTTCAAAACATGTTTTGATACCAGCCCTACAGCACTATGTGGACTTAAATTGAGTGACACTGAGTGACTGTTTTTGAACCTGCTACTTAGACTGCACCCCACCCCCACTTTCCAAAGAAGACGCATTAATTCCGAAAATCTCCCCAAAGTTTAATTATTCCTGAATGGTGTTGTGGTGGACACAAGCGTATAAATCAGTTAGGCGCACACGCCTTTTTTATTACCAGCACTATTTATAGAGAATGTCTGGCAGCTGGTAGAGATGAGCCTGTAAAAAAGCTGGCGGCTATTGCTGGGACTGTGTCGACCGCTGTAGCATGTGACAGTCATAACAATGGAGTTTTGCAGTTTGAAATGTGTGCTAAAAGCTAGAAGTGACGTTGAATTTTCAACTGGATTAAAATGTCATCGTTTTTACTGGTGACACTCTGACTGTGAGCCTTTGCAAACATTGACACATCGCGTTTAAATCTCCGCCTGATAAACTTGCATATTTTTGGCCCGTTAATTTTGCATGCTTTATTTGTGTGTATGAGCTTGAACTACTTTGTCTTTTAATGTTTATATCTTCCTCTTCAGT